ATTCCTGCACTTTAGACTCCATCCCGCAATGAAATGAGGCATTTGGACTCAAAGTCCTTGTCCCAATTTTCTTATGTGACCCTAGCACACTAACATGGAGAATAAAAGCATGATACCTCTGCCTCTTATGAGGCTGGAAGGCCTTTAACCACTAACACTGAGTTCCGTTACCCTGAAGTTCTTATTGGAGAGGGTGGCCCAACTTAGATTGGACATTAAATTATATAAGTTTCAGACTTACTGATTCTCTGCAGCAGAATTTTCTATGAAAAAACATTTTTTATGAAGCATGCAGTTTTATGGAAAACTCTTAAAGTGTTTTAAAATGGAAGGTGTTTCAAAAAGCAAAGTACTATGAGTATTGATATACTAGTGTAAACTTGAGATAATGAATAGAGATGATCCCTGTGGAAAACAGCTCCAAATGTTCTTCCTCCTTTTAAAAATGATGGTGATTAAGCTTCATGGTCATCTGATTCTTCTTGCCAAGGACTAGTTTTTGGAAGTATCTTTTTGTCTTATAAGAGAACCACTTACCTCCATTCAATTTAAAGGTCCACTTACCTCCATTCAGGTTAAAGACATTCAATTTAAAGATGCCCAAGTAATGGGATTGAGTCTATATGTCATCTAGAAACACCAATTTCATTACTTTACAGTCATATCTCATATTCAAAACTTATATAAAGCACTTTAAGAATATTAAAAATGCCACTCCATTATCTTTTTTTATTTTTTATTTTTGCTGTGGTTTAAAATGGCAGTGCAGTGGTACTTCGACTATTGTGAATTTTTATACATCTTCTCCACAATAAAATTTAGTGTCATCTCTTAATACTACTTGCTTCAATGTAAATGTGATTTACTTCAAAGGTATATCTATGTAGCTGATGTAATGGCTAAGAACATTCATGTAATGAAAATTCACGATAACTGGGATTTAACTCGACTGAAGGTAAGAGTACCCTGGCTTGCCCACACAACATGGCCTCTTACATTAGCTCCCACGCTTGACCTGGGAATGTGCTCCTTGAATGAAGAAAACATGAGTAATTAAAAAAAAAAAAAGATGGTGAGAGTGTGTTCTTGCACCATTAATAACAAAGCCCATTAAAAATGCTAATTTTAGCCCTGGATATTGTTGCTCAATAGTTAGAATGTCAGCCCATGCACTGAACCATTGCAGATTCCATCTAGATCAAGGACACGTAATTGCATTGCAGGTTTGATCCCCACCCTAGTCAGGGCAAGTGTGGGAGGCAACCAACTGATGTCTCTCTCACATTGATGTTTCCCTATCTCTTCCCTCCCTCCCTTCCACTTTCTCTAAAAATAGAAAAAAATATCCTTAGGTGAGGATCAACAACTATATATATATATATATTAATTTCAGGATCCAGAATCTGGTGCGAGGGGGGCGGTGTAAGGAAGAAAGCCAAAACAACATCTTCACTATTTCCTCTTTGTTGAAAGGTAATACAGTTGGACACCTTAGTGGATAACTTAACTGTCGATCCTGACACAGGAGATATTTGGGCAGGATGCCATCCTAATGCCATGAAGTTGCTGATCTATAACCCCAAGGATCCTCCAGGGTCAGAAGTAAGTTTCTACATTTCTCTGAGCTCACAGGCAAGGCTGTACGACCATCTGTTGAGGCCACTTGGAAGAAATGACTGGGTCACATGTGATGTTTCAGAACTGAACAAATATACATATGGAAAGAGTAAAGATTTTGTTAGAATGAAGAAATATAGCCCATTAACTTTTTCAGGTTACCGGGTACCAATTTAACATCAGTGCTAGACAACGTGCCCCATCATAGCAAAGGCTATACTTGCCACTGGGAATAATTGGAAAAATATGAGCTTAATTATTCATGATGACCCAGATTGGTATTCATATTTCCAATCAGGATATAAGCTCAGAACAGGCCCTGAAGTTAGGCAAAGAGAGAATCATATATGGAACCACCTTCTTTCACACTACCAAACATGAAGTTCAAATGAAAGGATTTAAATGACTAGTCTCAAAACAAAATGAACTTTGCCACCCAGTTCTATTACTAGTATATAAATGATAGTATTAAAGAATGTCTCATTTTAAAGATGGTATTTGTATTATTTAACATCTCTTCTGAAATAACAGTATATACCATTGGATTTTCTATGACATTAAAAGCAATAGCATGATACATTACATTTTCTATAGCATTGAGATTAACAATAAAGTAATCTTGAGTGAATTTAAATATAGTTATAAATTCTTGGCAGATATAATCTGAGATATTTAGTCACAAAAATTTATTGAGCAATTATAATATACCAGACTTTGTTTTCATACTTAAGATATACTGTTAAACAAAATATACAAAGATCCTTGCTCTTAGGGTGGGGGTACAGACAATAAACAATAAGCATAAGAAATAGTAAGTTATATAGTAATTTGAAGATGGGAAGTTGTATGGGGAAAAGTGTAATAGAGTAAAAAGGACTAAAATTACTGTGAAGAGGGGGAAGGGCAAGTCCTACTATTAAATATAAAGATCAGAGTAGGCCTCATTGAGATGGTAAGGTTTGAAAGAAGATAAAATATTTGAATCTAGGTTTGGGGAGTTGGGAAATTGAGATTCAAACCCTAGCCTTGAAATTGGCCCAGGAGTAAATTAGAACATACAATTATTTCTGCTTCCAAAATTGCCGTCCTTCAGTGTTTTTTTAAAAAAAAAAATTAATTGTTTCTCTAATTAATATATTAGCCACAGCTTTTTTAAAAAAATACCAAGAAATGTAAAAAGAAACAAGAGTCCAGACTGCCCTAGCTGGTTTGCTCAGTGGATAGAGCATCATCCTGCAGACCAAAGGGTCCAGAGTTCGATTCTGGTCAAGGGCATGTACCTCGGTTGCAGGCTCCTCTCCTGCCCAGGCCCTGATCAGGCGTGTGCAGGAGGCAACCAATTGATGTGTTTCTCTCACACTGATGTTTCTCTCTGTCTTTCCTTCTCTCTTCCACTCTCTCTAAAAATCAATGGGAAAATATCCTTGGCTGAGGATTGAAAAAAAAAAAGTCCAGCCTGAACCTAAAGCTTGAAGGATTGGTACCGTAGATAGCATGCTCCCCTTGCCTCAGATATGTGCCTCCAAAAGAGATAATATAACTATTCTACAAAAACCCAACAACATCTGCATTAAAAGAATGAAAATACAATCTATAAGATGATTTGATAATGGTTTAGGATCTTTTTCATGTCTCTATTTCCAAATTTAATCATTTGTTTATTTTAAAGATTTTTTAATATTTTTATTGATTTTTGGAGAGAGAGGAAGGGAGAGGGACAGAGAAAGCAACATGCCTCCTGTACTGCATACCCCATACTGGGGATCAAGCCCACAACCCAGGCATGTGCTTGACCGGGAGTCGAACCAGCAACCTTTCAGTTGCAGTGGACCAAGCCCAACCAACTGAGCCACTCCGGCCAGGGTTCATTTGTTTATTTTAGATAAGACTTCTTTCTTCACAGTCACTGACACCCTTTCCTTTTGGTTGAACCTAATATTTTCTACATGAATTCTAAGCTTGAATATTTCCCTGTAAGAAATTTGAGAAGTTATAGGAGTTTCCTTAAGACAAAAAGTCAAAACTCAACTGAACTATTTTAATAAGAGATGTCAATATAAACTCATGACTCATGAACTTTGAATTGGTTTTTTCTTTAATTCCTATCATGTCCTGTTTGAGTGAACGTCACCCAGGCTATTTGGAAACCTGAGCACTTATATACTTACTGATTGGCAACCTAAAGTGTGGCAATTCTGGGTATCAATAACAGTATGAAGTAGTCATGTGTCAGATTGAATTCTTCAAAGTATGCATTCTGTATGCTTCCTAGCCACTTCTCTGATGCGAGGGATTCCAGCTGTGACAACTACCATCCTACTAGTTACCAGGTTGGGTTGGCTTGCTACCTGGATGTCCCTTTTTCGTTTCTTCCTGTGTTTCTATTGAGGGATATGGCTAATTGTCAGACTGCACAGATATCATTAGGACATTAATACTTTCACCATCAAAAGAAAAAAACAACAACAAAGATATACAAATTTTAGCTTATTGATTTGTGAGAAATGTATTAGTCCTGGAGTATTTGGGAAGGAAAACATCACTGGCCGCTGTTTGCTCATATAGTGCACTAACAGTTAATCTCTTCTTGGCAGGTACTTCGCATCCAGGATGTTCTGTCTGAGAAGCCCAGGATAAGCACGGAGTATGCCAACTCGGGCTCTGTGCTTCAGGGCAGCTCTGTGGCTTCTGTGCACAACGGGAGACTTCTCATAGGCACCGTATTTCACAAAGCTCTGTACTGTGTGCTCTAGACTCCAGATGAGCCAAGAGTCTACAGGTTTAGTGAAAGTAAAACCCTAATTCTAGAATGAGGGGACTGCAAGTAAATCACAAACACCAACAAAAGTGTGTCTGGCTTTCCTTACGGATAGAATTAAAGAAGCAGAGAGATTCCATAATATTCACCAAGTTGCAAGTCAAGATAGTGATGTCCAACAATGAGCCAAATCTCTCAACTGTTTTGGTCCAGTACTCCCAGTATTCTTTCCACCTAGGACTCCTTGGTAACTGTGTGTCAAAATCACCTCCTACAACTGTCATGTTCTGAGCCTACTGCAATCCAGCCCAGGAGAAAATCTAATGTTCAAATATTTACAAGTCCCTTTCACTTTCTCCAATTGCACTAGGCACACACTGCTTATCAAATGCCCAGCCCATGGATAAAAGCAAGAATTAGCATCATGAGACTCTCTCCAAAGCCCTCCTCAAACTTGCATTCTTCCCAATACAGACACAGGAAATCAGGTTCTTGAAAATCTGACTGGGGAGGCCTCACTTAGTTGCAAGAAGAACTGTTTTCTTCCTTTGTACTAGGTCTTTATTTGTAATAGTCTCCCCCTAATCCATGGTCTCACTTTCCATGGTTTCAGTTACCTGTGGTCAGCTACAATCAAAAAATATTAAAGGAATAATTCCAGAAATAAACAAAAGTTTAAAATTGTGTGCTATTCTGTGATGAAATGTTGAGCCATCCATTCCTGGCCACCCGGAATGTGAATTATCCTTTATCCAGTGTCTCCATGCTGTATATGCTCCCTGCCCCTTCATCACTTAGTAAACCTCTGTGTTATCAGATTGACTGTCACGTGGAATCACAGTGCCTGTGTTCAAGTAACCCTTATTTTACCTAACAGCGGCCCCAAGGCCATTCACATAAGTTTTATCATTTAACTAGAGGCCCAGTGCATGAAATTTGTGCACGGGGGGGCCCCTCGGCCTGGCTGGTGATCGGGGCAGATCGGGGTCTCTCACCCAGTCCCAATCAGGGCCAATCAATTGGGGCCGGCGAGCCAGGGGGAGGGACCATGGGAGGTTGGCTGTGGGAAGCCCAGCCTGCACCCTCTCCAATCCAGGATCCATTGGGGGATGTCCAACTTGAACTGGCAGTTGGACATACCTCTCACAATCCTGGATCGCTGACTCTTAATCGCTCACCTTCCTGCCTGCCTAATCACCCTTAACTGCCCCCCGTGCCGGCCAGGTTGCCTCCAACTGTCCCCTCACCGCTGGCCTGGTCACCCCCCACTGCCCTTCCACCTGCTTCCCTGGTCCCCCCTAACTGCCCACTCCCGCCGGCCTGGTCACCTCCAACTGCCCTCCCTGCCGACCTGGTTGCCCCACACAGCCTGCTTGTTCAGTCGTTTGGTCATTCCTCCCTAACCCTCCTGCTGGCCTGGTCATAGGCAGCCATCTTGTGAGGGCGTGAGGGTTAATTTGCATATCACCGCTTCATTATATAGGCCATTGTTATAGTCGTTCTATTTTATTAATTGTTATTGTTTTCAATCTCTTACTGTGCCTAATTTATAAACTAAACTTTATTATACAGGGGTGGGAAAAAGACCTGCTGGCCTGGTCACCCCCAACTGCCCTTCCACCTGCTGCCCTGGTCACCCCTAACTGCCCACTCCCGCCGGCCTGGTCACCTCCAACTGCCCTACTAATATGCAAAATGTCCCCTTGACCAGGAGTTTGACTGCCTGTGACCCCTCCCCCAGCCAGCCCCACCCCTGATCGGCCCCATCCACTCTTATCTGGGTGGGCCGGTTGGACCCCACCCATGCAGGAATTCATACACCGGGTCTCTAGTACAATAATAAACTATTTTGCATACTCACAACTATAAACCTACTTTTGCCCAGGCCTGTAGGGATGTATGTATAGGACAAACATCGTACAGACAGGATTCAGTACTATCCACAGTTCCAGGCATCCACTGTACACCAGGGGTCTTGGAACATATTCCCCACAGATAAGGGAAACTACTCTTGTGACATCTGAATCTGAAGTAGTATAATCAGCTTGGCTCTGGACCGTGAGACAGAACCTCAGCAATGTTTCCTTGGAGTTCTTTAAACTTTCTCTTAATAAACACTTATTATATATCATCCCATAGAGTTGGCCTTAAGGAACAAAAATAAATAACATGGTTCTGGCCTAAAGTTCTGTCCTAGGACTAAATCAACCTTACTTTGATTAGAATAAATAGAATTGTTCCTTTCTTGGTCAAACATTGGGACAGCTTTAGCAATCATTAAAGGGAATCAGCATACACATGCACCCCACCCCCTTCCCTGTCTGTGACTTTCACTGGGAACTGGTTGGTTTTCCTCCCCTTTCTCATAGGAATGGGGAGTTGGGGAGGACTCTTTATTTTCCAGTGAGTTTTGCTCAGTTAGATGAAAGTTTCGATGAAACTTTTTGTAGCAAAGTCATATTCTACTTTTTAGCCCATGTAACTATGACTTAGATAGTAAGATCATAGTGTCCATTGCTTCAGGGAAGGAATGACTCAGCAGATGTCATAAAATCAGTTCTCAGGTTTTAAGTTCCTAAAGCATAACCATCAAGTGGTTATGCTTTAGGAACTTAATAAATAAGGAACTTAATAATAAATAAGGGCATGTATAACAGTTTTGAAAAATACAATAGTTGTGTGTGTTTTTTTCTGTCCCTAACTTTTACACCCATTATATTAGAGGACGTTTACCAGATTAGGGAAAACAAAGAGTCAGAGATGGAAAAACTAAGGGCATTGAAGATGCTAGTGGGTTCCTCAGAATTGGCTCTGCCCTGCCTTCTCCCCAGAGCAAATAGCTGATCAAAACCCCCAGAGAGATTTGGGGGATCTGATTGCTGAGGGGCCAGTGTGGGCTTTCACAGGAAGGGTCTAGAAAAGTCACAAGGCACTGGGGTTCCTCTTCATGTAGACACTCCAATCTTTATGCAATTATCTTGAGCCTCTTTTTTCACCTGGCTTGGGCAGGACAGGGATTGCCCTCACAAAAAATGCCGCATTTTGATGACTAACTGTCTTCCCTTCCCCAATCTTTCTGTTTAAATC